AATCTTATTTTGTTAACAAGATCTAAAATACAACTCACAATGAATGAAAATTGCAGTTAACCAAATCTATATTCCAATTTTGAAACTCAAAGCATTATTTAAAAAAGGAAATCTTAATATTACGGTAATTAAGTTCAAATAGCCTGTTCAAAAAAATAAAAGCTGATGTTGTTTTGTTTGGTGCTTATATAAAAACAAATCCATTCATTTTTTTTCCTTAGAAAATAATACATTAGGGTTTTGCATGCTTAATCGGGTTTTTAATTAAAATTTACTGTTTTTTCTTAATAATTAATGCTTATGGTTAAATGAGGTTGGATAAATACACATAACTTTTTTTAAAGTCCAAACAAAGAATAAAGATGCTCTACTCTTTGGGTTGGACCTTTGTAATTTCTTATTCGTGGTGACATGCATGCTTCACCTTTGATTTTGTTCAAAGGCTATTATCCACTGAGTCACATATTGAACATGATAGTGTTATGTTGAATTAGACATCATCATTATCATTTTTTTTTTTTTTGCATATTAGATTTCAACTTTATTAAAGTTTTAAAGAAATAAAACTTAATTATCAAAGAGTGGTTAAATTCATATAAATCAACTAGCCCTTAGTCACATAATCTATTGGTTTTTCTACTGACATCAAATGAAAATTTACTAAAACTAATGATCTCCATCCAAAACATTTATACTTTCCTTGGGTGGCAATGAATAATCAATTAAGCTTTTGATGATATTAGTCCTTCATCTATTTATTCCTCATTATACACATTTGTTTCTCTACTTGACATTCTAAATATTTTAGGTGTAGAGATACAAAAATTTTATAACCTATATATGTCTACAATGCTTACAAAGACAAAGCTCTGACAAAGGCTTGCATGTCACATTCTACAGAAGCAACTGGTGAGAAAAGCTCAATGTCTCTTGCTGTTACGTGGACTTAGGAAAGGAAATCCCAAATTAAACAGAGACTTTATTGTTGTAGTGGAGGAAAATAAAACTTGCATAAATTCATGTAGTAGTAGGATAAACCATTTAATCTTGACTTTTACATCATTTATATAGGAAGGAATGTAGCTAGATCATTGGACTACTATCATATTATATCCATATGGTTATCATGATGAACTCTTTTTTGCAAATTGATGATGTAATCTTCATTTTGCACTTGGAACAAAAGCAATTGTTATCCTTTTATTTGATACTCTTGTCTCTTCCCAAGTTTAAAGTTGAAAAATAAAAAAAAAGACTATAAAATTTGGTTCCAGATTGACAAAAATTTGAATCATTATCAACAAAAAAACATCTTTCTCTAAACTAATGCATTTTTTAAGCATCGAAATACACATTAGTAACAGTAAGAATGGGTCTTTAAGAATTAAAATTATCTATGACCTAATAGGATCAAAAGTTTCAGAACAAAAAATGCTTGGATAAAGGCATTAAAAGCGCATAAAATTACATATCTCATTATAGATTTCAACTGAAAGAAAATATGTCTAATGCCTTATTGAGAATTTATCATCTTCCATATGCTATCACAAGCATCAAATGCAGTCTTCTTTGTTAGGTCAAATTCAAACTTCTCTACCACCTTTTTATCTTTATCTACTAGAATTGTGACAAATTTGAATCAAGAAGAATTCATACAATACAACACAAAAACAACTTTGAATATGATAAAAACCTAATAGATAAAAGATGATGGGGAAAATAATATTTATTAGTAAGATAGGGCCTGAGATTTTGGGTTGGTCTTCTAAGTTTGGAATGATACTAGTTATAGAAAAATACATCGAAAGCTTCCTCTTGCAAGATAAAAGTATAATGCTTCATTTTCAGATGTTAAAAATTGGATTGTAAGTCTAATTTATAGAGAGAAATAACATATTTTTATATACTAGACATCAACTCAGCAAAAGATAAACTTGGGAAGGCATAGTTTCTTAGTTTTGGATAAGAAAACATTATTGAACATAGCAAAAAATCCAAGTTCCTCAAAACACAATTTGTTGACAAATCCTATGATACTATTGATGTCATTTCAAACAACCTTTATTAACTCCATTCAGAATGGAAAGTAATCGCTTGGACAATGAGTATATACATGGAAACTGAAGTTTAAAAATTCAAGACAAAAATTTTCCCTTATTTGTCCAAGAGACAAATTTATGCTAAGTTTCCCTCATTTTCAATACAAGACATAAACATCGAATTTTGAAAATATAAAAATGACCAAGCATCATTTGCTTCACAAATTTGAGTTCATATACTTATCGTTCTTTAAGCTTATCTTACTTAAATTTCCTCAACATTTGTTTTTGCTCTTAAATAGAAAGCCTCTGGCGCTTCATTTCACTTATCTCATTGCTAATAGTCGTGTTCTTATAAAAAGAGATTTAAATAAATCAAATATCGTAAAACCAAAACCTTAAAAAAATCAAAAGAAAACTCTGACAAAAATATATCCAAGTTCCTCCTCAGGTTCACATTCTTTCTCAAATTCTTCTTGCAATTCCTTCTACAAATACTCCATTTAAGTGCCATCAGCAACTTTAGACTTTGCCTATTCTATATTTTTCTTGCAAGATTTGATCTTTTCTTCATATTCTGTGTTTTTTTAAAGGAAAAAGATTTTTCTTTACTTTCTTATTGGATTATTATTTTTTTAATTTATCCAAAAAATAAACACGTAGAAAAAGAAAAAGACATTAAAGCAATCAATGAACCTCTTTGGAATCATAATCGTAGTACGAGTGGAGATCGTTCAAGCACTGGAAACAATGCGCTAAGTTGTTAATGTCCCTTTTAGCTTTTAATAGCTTCACTAGATCGTTGCTATAGGATATCAGCTTTTCCACATCGATCATTCTCGAGGATTCCTCCATTTTTTAGGGATTTTGGTACTATTTTCTTCAATTTTAGGCAAAAAAGAAATTTAATGATAAAAAGTGAAAAAGGAAATGTTTTTGAAAGCGTTTTCTTTTATATTTGTTTATTTTTTTCAGTTGACAAACACTAATGTTCTCCAGTGGATATTGCGAAAGTGTCTTTTTTTTATTTGTTTAGTGGATATTAAAAAATTTTACTTAATAAAAGTTTAGAAGAATATGTGTCATATCATGTAAGATTTATTATTAATTTAGTTGGTTTAATAGATGGAGGAATCACATTAACACACGTTTTGGTAATTAAAAATTTAATTAAAATTTTTCAAAATTTAGGGACTAATATAAAATCTAGTATAAAGTTTAAGGATTATGTGTGCTATTAACTTTAAAAAAATAACAAAAAATAAAAAAAATTTAAGAAAAGAAATGATTGCCACAACACCCTTAATCTCTCCGAATTATCTATAAAATGTAGGTTAAATTGTATTTGTTCATCCATTTACTTTTATCAAATAGTAGAATTAGTTCATCTACCATAGTATGTTCAAGTTAGATTTTTATATATCAATTAATTCTTGAATTTAATTAAATTGTTAATGATTTAAACTTTTTTTTTTGTTAAAATTACTGATATGTCATTTGATTTTTTTAACATGATATTTTTTTGTTTACGTGAGCATTGACTTTGTAGCCGTGTCAAATTTTTTTATGATGACATGGCAAAATTTTTTCTACATCAAGATTTTTTATAAGGTAAATTTTTTCCAATTGTATGATTTATCCCTATACTTTCATCAAAATGTGCAATTAGTCCCTCTACTTTAATGTGTACAAATTGGATCCTTATATTTTAATTAATTATCAAATTTAGGTTTAGACATAAGATAAGCACAAAAAAATCCTATTCAATACAAATGGATCGGATTGTAATCGAATCAGATTTTTTTTCCTTAATCATGATTTTTTTTTCATATCTAGATAAATTTTCTTGGACGTTTGAATTATTAATTGGACTTTAATTTGGTAAATTAGGTTTTAATCTCTAATTAGATTTTAAGTCTAATATTAATCAGATTATTCATTTTCTTTTCTTTATCCTTATTTTATTCATTTATTTTGATTTTCATTTCTTTTAATTTTTATTTTCAATATGTTTAAAATATAAAAAAAATTAAAAAAGATAGAAAATAACAAAACAAGAAAAAAACTTTAAAAAAATGATAAAAACACAAAAGCTAGATAAAAAAACCCTGAATCATCAAACCAAGCAAGGTATATGCACAATCAACAATAGAAGTAATCAACAAGAAAATATAGTGATATCGATGATCAATTTCTAGGTATTAGTGACTTTTGGATTTTTGAAATAAATTTTTTAACGGCCATTGAAAATTTCAATTATTGAATTTTAGAAATCCCAATTGAAATTGGGTTTACTGAATTTTTCAATGGGACTTGTAAAGAAAAAGAAGAGAGAAAACGGGAAAGAAGAGATGAAAAATAAAAAATAATTTAATTTTTTTGTTTTTATGGCATCATTTTGAAAGGAAGGTCTGGTGTAACCCGTGCTAATTTAGTCACAACCCAACCCATTTGCACAAAATTTATTTTGTGCTTATCTTATATCAACCTTAAATTTGATAATTAATTAATGTATAGTGATTCAATTTGAACATATTAAGGTATAATGACTAATTTTATATTTTGATGAAAGAATAAGAACGAATCATATAATTTAAAAAATATTGGCTTGAAAAAAAATATTGATGTGGTAAAAAATTTATCATGTCAATATTAAAATACTGATAAATCAATAAAATTAATGGTCACGTAAGTAAAAATGTTATATTAAAAAAATAAAATGCCATATTGTCAATTCAATAAAAAAAAGTTTGAAACATTAATAATTTGATTAAATTTGACAATTAATTGATGTACGAGGATCCGATTTAAATATATTAAGGTGAAAGGATTAATTCCACAATTTGACAAAAGTAACGGGATAGTCAGCAAAGTTTGACCTAAAATTTCTTGTATGGACTAATAATTGTAACAAAAAGGCTATTAGTAACAAAAAGGCAAAACGCCGTCGTTGCCTTCGTTGCCTTCGTTGCAATGGGGCAGCAAGTAACTAAAAAGAAGTCGATAGCCTTGGAAGAGGAAGAGGAATGTACTAGGGGAGATGGCCGCCAGAGGAAGAGCGTTAGAAACACTACCAAAGCTGATCAGAAACTTGAGGAAGGACTCACTCTCTTCAACGCGGACTCAAGCTCAAGTCTTGCCATCCCTTAGACGCGCTTTCTCTCTCTACGATCAGATCAATCTCATCAATAATGTCCCTGAAGACCAGCTTCGTTTCCAGGGGTATTTCTTCTTCTTATTTTTATTACCTAAGATCAAATCCAATTTCTTTTCTCCAACACTGACCTTAATTTTTATCTGGGTTTTCCCTCCCTTTTCTTTTATTTGCTTTGATGATATGTTGGCAGATATACTGACACAGGATTCACCGTGAATGGGGTCACGTATGAAGGCAGCTTGCTTTGTGTGGGAAATTTGCTCACTTCTTGGGGCCCCCATAAGTTTTCTGAAATAACTCCCGAAAGGTATTTACTTCCTTCATGTACTTCAATGCTTTTCTGCTATGCTTTCTTAATCTAAACCAAACTATGCCTGTTATACTATCCATTGGTGAATTACTACTTCTGTTCACTTTACCTATTCCCAGGTGTTTATCATTTTTCCTAATATGGATTAAGATAATACTTTTTCTTCAAAAGCTTCATCTTTTATGTCCCCTAATCAAAATGGATTAGTCCCATGTCTTCATATGCGTAAGCTTCAGGTGGCTAGTCGCCTAGAACAATGAAATATTGCAACTTTAAGGCACCTCTATCTCACATTTCATTTTTATTGTTCTTTGTGCAGCTTATCTATCTTCCAAATCATACGACCTATTCCAGGTGAGACCTCAAACGATATCTACATGAAGATGAAACTTGATGCCTAATAAAGAATTTCAATGATGCATCCCATGGGCTTAATCATCTTGTCGACCTAATTCATGTTTTATGCCATTTAGGCTTTGCTTGGTAGGAAGCAGGGAAAGGGGTGAGGATGAAAACTTTTTAATCTAATGGGTAAGCTACAAAGTAGGAAAGTAGTTATGAATTTTAACCATTGGATTAAAAAGTTTTCCATCCTCACCCCTTTCCATCATTTCTACCAAGCAAGGCATTAGAGTTTAGGCATTTCACTCTGATATTAAAATAGAAATTTAAATGCAAAGATGTACGCACATGGCATTTAGCCTATTGTTGGGCACCTGTCTTTTGTTGTTAGATTGGCTGATATCTTAACTGTTAAATTGAGAGTTGGTTTTTCAAATTTATCAGACTTTTTCAGCCTTTTATTTATGAGTTATCATCCATGACATCATTATGTTATGGTTAATTCCTTTTGCCATTTTTTTGGCTATTTCCTGATATCATTTTTGTCTTGAGGACATGGATCTTGCAGCATTTTGCCTGCGTTTTTAGTGTTCCATTAGTGTCACATGTGGCTATGCAGTGTGCAATTTCTGGAGAACAAACAAAAGCTGAGAAAAATTTTCAAATGCAGCTAGACATAGAAATTAAGCTTGTTTGTGCTGTATGTTTCTCTGTTTTGTTTTCTCCTATTTTTGGTTCTCATGGAGCATTTCTCTCTCTCTCTCTCAGAAATCTTGATTCTTGGCTGTGGAAGGCTCATTGAACCAGTAGATCCTGAACTCAGGCACTTCATCCGATCTACTGGCATGAAGTTGGAAGCCCTAGACTCGGTATTATCATTTTCATTGCAGTATTATAGTTGCTATTAGAGTTTGACAGCTTAGTAGTCTTGGCATTTTATGGTTATATTTGCTTGAATATCATTTACATGGCAGAGGTTAGACCTCCTCTGCTCTCCTGGTCAATCAATTGCCAACACTTACATACTTGAGTTTGAAGGTTTCTGATTATGATTGGAAGATCCTAATTAAATTACTAACCTAAACCTTGAGGCATCAAATTTTAGGCTTTTTCATAAGAAAGAAGGCTTAGAGCTTGCTTTCTTATTTTCTTCTGTTTATGGAGGTCAAGAGACTAAATTTCAGCACCAGTTTCTCAATCACTTCTCCACTTTCAGTGCGTGTAATTTAAGCATCAAGAGCTCTTTTACGTTCTTCCATTAAAAAGCCATATACATATTTATGCTTGTATTTTGTGTTTGGTTTCTCTTCTAAGATAATCTATCTAGATTCTGTCTTGATAAATGCATGTGCATAAATGCTGTTTGTCATTGATGGAAGTGATTTTATACTTGTTTATAGCCAAATGTGAAATTAGAAAGCACCAAGAGGAACTGACTTTGAGCACAATCTTCAGGCTCAATATTTTGTTTTCTCCTGTTGCAGAGAAATGCTTCATCTACTTACAACATACTGAATGAGGAAGGTAGAATTGTGGCTGCTGCACTGCTCCCATACGGAGTGTCTTCATGAACCTTGCTACTCCCAATTTTACGATGGAAGGGTTCAATTGTGTCAGAGCAGACAATTAAATGTTTGTGCTTATCTCCTTACCTCTGTCAGGAAATTAAGGATTTACCCTTGGTTGAAACTAAATGGTTGGCCTTGACAGCAGTTTCTGTTTTGTGCCTATGATTTTCTTTCTCTTTTCCTCCCAATTTTTGGGAGAGGTGGAGGCTGTGAGCCTCATCATTTTGACCTGCAACTTTATTTTTTTGTGTGGAAAAATAAATTTCAGTACTTATGGTTTGTGACGACCTAAAACTGTAGCCATTCCGAGTTTGTGAATTTGTAGCTGATACGAGTAAAGCCGCAATTTCTTGATTTGAACTTGATCATTTGCACCTTGACGTTTGTACCAGGAAGGAAGCTTTTAATAAACATACTAGTATTATTTCTATGGGTTTCCTTGTGAAATATGGCAGTTGGATTAGTTGTCAAGTTGGGGTCGTTTGCGAGTATTGCCCTGTCAGCTTGGATATATTGGGTAATGGATGTACTCTGTCAAACTTGTTTGATGTTGAAAAGAAAAAAATAAAAAGAAAGATACCCAATCTCTTGGCTAATCAAAGAAAAAATAAAAAAGCAACTTGAATAAAAGGCCGGAATCAGAAGCAAACTATGACCTTCTGACATCATTACAAAATGAAGAGTGAAGACATGAACAGAGATATACTAATTACATGTCAGCCGGATCTGGATTTACTCATACATGGATTTATGGAGAGAACATGGCCAGTGGCCATTTTTCCCATTTGGTATGTCAAGTTGTCTTTGTTTGTTTCATGTTTATCAATATGTAAAATATAAATATTATTATGTTATAATTTATATTTTTTTTGTTTGTTATTTAATATAAATAAAATATAAAAATTATTATGATATAATTTACGTAAATACATAAAATATAAAATGCGTTTTTAAATTTTAAATTTATTTATAAAATTTCTAAAATTTTATAATGTTTAAAATTACTGGATCTAATACTAATAACGCATAGTGAGAAAAGGAAACTGAACCACTTTTGAAATTGATGGGCTAAATTGCATAGCATTTTTCTTTTTGGTTCAAACCAAAAACTAAAATATCCGAGTCCATTAGGCCTGATGTTCACTTTAACCTCTAGTACCAAGCACTAGAACAACAGCAGCAGCAAAGAACGGTTGACAGTTGAATGCATAGAAGACGAAGAGAAGCTTTTGAAACCCTAAAAAACCCAGCGGTTTGATAAAAAGGTTTAATGAATGGCCTCATCTCTGCTTTTCTCTTCCAATTCACCACTCTCTTCCGCTACTCTTTTTAAGACCCACCCTCGCTTCCCTTGCCGACACCGCATCGTGAGTTTCCTTTTTCTTTTCTCTGAATTTAGAATCACTGCTGAATCTTTTTTTTTTCTTTTTTTACATTAATTTGTTATGACTGGCCAGCTAGCCTAGAGTAAGCTAAAATCTGGGCCTTTTTGTTTGCGGTGTTTTAGAGATGTAGTGTGGGCGAGCCGTTGAAGTTCGACAATGGAAAGCCTTACTTTCCTCTCCTCACCACTGAACCTGCATTGCCCACCTTTTTGTCGTCAAATACCCAATTGGAAAACGCTATCAACAAAAACGATACAAGGCTTCGTATATTTTCTGGCACTGCTAACCCTGCTCTAGCTCAGGTTTTAATTTTGCTCGATATAGTTTATACTATACTTTTAAATTCAGATCGTTTATCTTTCTAATGAGTATCTATATAATAGTATATATTTGTGTAATTCTGATATTGCTATTTCTGTATTGGATAGGAAATCGCATGCTATATGGGTCTGGAGCTTGGGAAAGTCAAGATAAAGCGTTTTGCTGATGGTGAGATTTATGTTCAGTTGCAAGAGAGTGTGAGAGGGTGTGATGTGTACCTGGTGCAACCCACTTGTCCCCCTGCCAATGAGAATCTTATGGAGCTTCTCATTATGGTTGATGCTTGTCGAAGGGCTTCTGCTAAGAATATTACTGCCGTTATTCCCTATTTTGGCTATGCCAGGGCTGACAGAAAGGTAACTCTTCCCATTATAGCACAATTATGCATAATTAGTAGATTTGGTTATATTCTTTTGCTTGCTGCGAAAACTTACTGCTACTACTGGAATGCTTGATCTAATGGATTTTGATTTCAGATTTCGAGTTCAATTATTATTAATTCCATTTCTTGGAATTGTGATTTCTACATAATAGAATTCTCTTCATTTTGGTTTTAATTGTGAATTCTGTGTCCTTTACTGTTTTTATAAACAATGAAAAATAATCTAATTATATTTGATTCATAGTCATTTCAAAAGAGCTAATTGAAGTATAAAATGAATTTAGTTGAATTATTTCCCTTGGAAGTTGGTTCTTCAAATACTACATATTGGCTTTTTAAAATTTCCAAACGCCCCATCAAACCATGAAGTCCCTGGATCTGAGAAAAAAAAAAAAGAAATGATACTTTTGCCGAGTATGAAAATTTAGGAGTCCTAAATATGACAAAGGTGCAGCGTTAGTTAATAGCTCTACTCTGCATATGCATTTTTCATTGGACTCATAAATATTGCTTTATTGGTTATAATCGTCCACTGTTATTTCAGACTCAAGGGCGTGAATCTATTGCTGCCAAACTCGTAGCAAATTTGATTACAGAAGCGGGTGCAAATCGTGTTCTTGCTTGTGATCTTCATTCTGGGCAATCCATGGGTTACTTTGATATTCCTGTGGATCATGTTTATGGTCAGGTAATTAACCTCTATATTATCTATATCCCTGTGATGTTCTATGTTTAGAGGTATGAATCTATATTACATTTAAGCATTAAGTACAATACTGGAGTATGGTACAAGAATCTGAATAGGAATTTAGCTCAAATTACTTTAAGTACTTATGAAAAGCCTAAAATATAATCCTCCCATGAGAAGTTGCTTTATATTCGTATTCTGTTTTTGACATGAACTTATGAATTGTTATTGCAAAAGCTTTATCCACTACCCTATCAGCTCCTCTTGCGTGCTGGTATATTTACTTTTTGCTTATTGCAAGTATTTCTCTTTGCAATTCCAGCCTGTGATTCTTGATTATCTTGCTAGCAAGAGAATATGTTCTGATGACTTGGTGGTAGTCTCGCCAGATGTTGGAGGTGTCGCCAGAGCACGTGCTTTTGCAAAAAAATTATCTGATGCACCTCTTGCAATTGTTGATAAAAGGCGTCATGGGCATAATGTTGCAGAGGTGAGATCTACTTATTTGTGGGTGTTGTGTTATGCTTCCTAGTTGGGTAGGACAGGATATTGTTTCTCTTTTTTCAAAAGTCTTGATTGATCAAAATTTCAATATTTGGGGGGAAGGGAAAATAATTGATAGAATTTTGAATATTCATGAACCTCAAAAGAAATGAAGTAGAGTATGGTGTAGAAGGTGTAAGGCAGGTCATTATCATTTGAATAGATAATAAATTATCTAGTTTGAAGTCATGTAATGTTGTGGCTGGGCACTTGCTATGCGTAGGGAAAAATTTTGGAAGCTGATAGAGAATAACACTCTTCTAGTCAAATGTCTGCTTCTATTCTCATGCTTTATCTCTTACTCTCTTTTTCGTTCACCCTTTTTATGCTGTAGAGTAATACGGTGTTATTCTCAAATTGAACTCAAAATCAACATACACATATTATTTTGTAGGTCATGAATTTGATAGGTGACGTGAAAGGAAAGGTAGCAGTTATGGTGGATGACATGATTGACACAGCTGGTGAGTTATGTATTATCTCTTTAACTTTTGGGAAAAATGTGATTCAGATGATCCTAAGAATCAGAATGTATGGGCAATGCCATATATTATTTCTGCTTTGTCAGTATTAACATGTAAATGTTAGTTAGTGAATCCTTGTTAAATATTAATTATCAAGTTGTGGGTTTCACAGGGACAATTGCGAAAGGTGCTGCTCTATTGCATCAAGAAGGGGCCCGGGAAGTGTATGCATGTAGTACACATGCTGTTTTTAGGTATCTAGATCCTTAGCAGCTCATACCTTGGATGTTCTTTAGCATAGTGTGAAAATTTCTTTAGCAGAAGTTGCTTCCTGATAAATACACATATTCGAGCTATTTCACCTGGTGCAGGGGTTTCCACAACTCTTAAAAATTTGAGTTTATTCTGAATGTTCTTGGAGCAGTATTAGGAAGTTGGTTCCCCTTAAAACTGTTAAACTTTGGGATTTGTTTGAGTTGTGTTTGAAATGCTATTAAGGTAATGACGGCTTGATGCTCTAGCCTCAAAATACAAAAAGAACTGATCATCTTCTTTGACAGTAATAGAAGTCCAACTGAGTGTCTGGAATAAATCAGGCACCAGACTGTTAAAAGTACTATTGTACCAAATGACATCCATTCTGAGTTCCTTCACATGCATTTATCACAATGAAATCAGGGTGTTGGAGATCACAAGTACGTATGCGCTCCAAATTCCTTTAGGCACTTATGAAATATGATGGAATGGTCATTAAAAAGATCCTACGGATGGTTATATTGTTTGCTTTTTGGCAATTATATTGTTTGCTGTTTGGCAATCATTGCAAAACCCTTGTAGGTAAAGTCATAAGACTTTGTTATACTGAGTTATCTTGTTTGCGTGTTCTTGATAAAGACTGTTATATTCAATGTATTATTATACCTTTGTAAATGCTCATCATATTCGTCCGTTTGTTTGTATGGTTACAGTCCTCCGGCAATAGAGAGGTTGTCAAGTGGTCTTTTCCAAGAAGTTATCATAACAAACACCATCCCAGTTTCAGAGCAGAATTATTTTCCTCAGTTGACGGTCCTCTCTGTGGCAAACCTTCTAGGAGAGACCATATGGCGTGTTCATGATGACTGCTCTGTGAGTGGCATCTTTCAGTAGAAACAATTTGTTATGCTCTTTCAAAGATTTCCTGGAAGTGCTTCATGCTCTTGCTTGTTATGATCTAACTTGTATTTTAGAGGACTTTTAATTTAGTTTGGGCAATGTGTAGTGTGGAGAGTTTATTGATATGGAATATTTGTGATTGGCAGGGAGGGTTTGAACCCTATTCAACTTTGGGCATTGATTGATTTGTCCACTTGATGTTGGGAACAGAGTTGCCTTGCCTGCCTGGAACTGCAAAACAAATTGGTTTTATGGAACGGGGGATCAGAATGCGAATCATTGTCCATCTACTCGGGTGTGGTACAGTGGGGCTAGTTTTGTTAAAAATGCACACTAGGGTCTTTTTCTTTTTTTTGTTTTTGTTTTTGTTGAGATCATGTGGTCCTATTTCTTTTCTGTATTTTTATATGGTACTATTTTTTGTTGAAAAAATGTAATGGACTTTTATTTCATTAATGAATAATAAGTAATAGATTGTCTACAATTAAACGCATAGTGAATGCTGCGACTGCTTGTAGCCCAACCAAATGGAGAAAATACTCTCTAGGGGCAACAGGATTAGATAATTATATAATTGCAGTAAAAGTAAAAAAAAAAAATTTTAGAAGTAATATATCCAGTAATTATTAGCGGTATCTGGTACGGTGAGTAATCGGTAGTGTGTATTGTATGTATATAAACATTGCAACTGTCGGGCATTCAGCCAGCTAGCTAGACAGCCTAGGATAGGGTTTCACAAAGGGAACACATTTGCTCTCGTATCAGACCTTAGTAGGAAGTTTGGGTTCCAAATCAAACCCCTTGGCGGGAAGTGGGAAAAGAAAGATAACAAGAAAAACCCTAATTCGAAACACAGCAACCAAACCAAAATTGAGAAATGGGAAAGGATGAGGAGGAAATGCGTGGAGAGATTGAGGAGAGGCTGATCAACGAAGAATACAAAATTTGGAAAAAGAACACTCCTTTCCTCTACGATCTCGTCATTACCCACGCCCTCGAGTGGCCCTCTCTCACCGTTGAATGGCTTCCCGACCGCGACGAGCCTCCCGGCAAGGACTACTCTGTTCAAAAGATGATATTGGGCACCCACACCTCCGAAAACGAGCCCAATTACCTCATGCTGGCCCAGGTCCAGCTACCCCTCCAGGACTCCGAGAACGATGCTCGCCACTACGACCACGACCGTTCCGACCTCGGCGGCTTCGGATGCGCTAGCGGCAAGGTACAGATTATTCAGCAGATCAATCACGAAGGGGAGGTCAATAGGGCTCGTTATATGCCCCAAAATCCTTTCATTATAGCCACCAAGACGGTCAGCGCTGAGGTTTTTGTGTTCGACTACAGCAAGCATCCTTCCAAGCCGCCTTTGGATGGGGCCTGCAGTCCTGATTTGAGGCTCAGGGGCCATAGCACTGAGGGTTATGGTCTGTCTTGGAGCAAGTTCAAGCAAGGCCATTTGCTTAGTGGCTCTGATGATGCTCAGATTTGTCTATGGGATATCAATGCCACTCCCAAGAACAAGGCTCTTGATGCTATGCAGATCTTCAAGGTCCACGAGGGTGTTGTCGAAGACGTTGCATGGCATCTCAGACACGAGTACTTGTTTGGTTCCGTTGGGGATGACCAATACCTACTTATTTGGGACCTGCGAACCCCATCTGTCACCAAGCCTATCCAGTCCGTAGTTGCTCACCAGAGTGAGGTGCCTATCAATCAAAATTTTCTTTTCTTTTTTATTCTATATAGGTACCATAATATATATATATATATATACACACACATATATAAATTCAACTTTTCCACTAAACTATTGTTTACTCGCTGATTTCTTAAATTTCTGTTTTAGTTAGGCTGAATATTACTTAAGATGTAGGAAATGAATTCGTTCATTGGAGATAGAAAGTGAACAAAACAACAGCATATGGAGTCAACTCTATTCACTTCTTGCTTCATTTGTCCGTCCTAGTTTAGTACCACTCCAGTCTGCCTTTAGTCGTTGTGCTCATTGTTTAGTCATAATTCAGATGAATAGAGTAAAATTTTAATTTATATATATGCTCCGATTTGTTCTTTTGTTGCGTGGAAATGCTAACAAGTTGCTAATTTTCAATGCTATATGGCAAGTTTGTACGCTTTCTGTGTTTTGATGTTGTTATTTTCATGTTATCAGGTTAACTGCTTGGCTTTCAATCCCTTTAATGAGTGGGTCGTGGCAACAGGTTCTACTGATAAGACAGTTAAGTTATTTGATCTCCGCAAGATCAGTACTGCACTCCACACCTTTGATAGCCACAAGTAAGAAATTTTACTCAAGGCATACTCTGGTTACTATTGTGGATTCTTGAAATATTCTTATTTTCTCTCTTTTTGGATACTTTATGCATTTTTGAAATTCTTGAAGATATGTTCATAACTAGTCATGAAGTTAATTTTGCAATGTGTGCAACAGGGAAGAAGTTTTCCAAGTTGGGTGGAATCCAAAGAATGAGACAATCTTAGCATCCTGTTGTCTTGGTAGAAGGCTCATGGTATGGGATCTCAGCAGGTGAGTAACTCATTGCCAAATTGTGTTCTTTTATGAGTGAATGTAACCTTAACTAAGTTTCTAAGCAAACAAAGAAAAAAAGGAGAAGGGAACTATGTACATTACATTGATGTGAACTTTTGCTCAACAAAATTAATTGGATCTCCTAGTTAATTTCTTTTGATGCAACTACGTGCAATGACCTCATTCACATTGATAATATTATGGTAATTTGATTCTTCTTTTGCAGGATTGATGAAGAACAGACACCAGAGGATGCTGAAGATGGTCCACCAGAGTTGCTCTTCATTCATGGGGGTCACACCAGTAAAATTTCTGATTTTTCATGGAACCCATGTGAAGATTGGGTTATTGCTAGTGTAGCTGAGGATAACATTCTTCAAATATGGCAGATGGCAGAGAATATTTACCATGATGAGGATGATATACCAGGAGATGAATCCACCAAAGGTTCTTAAATGTATCATTCTCCCCAACTTGAGGGGAGAGCCAACTGGGGAGCCAGAGAAGGTTGATAGATTTGTGAGTAAATTTAACTTGTTTTCATATGCTCAATAGTTGGAAATGGTATTATCCACCCCGCTCTCAACTCTTTAACTCCTTTTGTGTGAATTTGTGTTTTGACCCCATCTACTGAACTGTAACTGCTATTAAATACATGTATCGTATTTAACTATTTATTTGCATAGGTATCTTCTTTTAATCTCTAAATTTCCGTCTGCTAGTAAATAATGTTTTTGTTGCTTGAACTTTTGTTTCTGAAAGTAAAAAATGCACCCAAAAAAAAAAAAAGGGATTAAAAAGCAAACAATGAATGTGAAAGATTATAGATAGATAAAACATGTAATTACCTCAAGATAGTAAATTATATTATTTTATATTTATAAAGACATTATTGTATAATGGTGGTTTGCTTAATTAATTGTATTTTAATCAATTATGACTTTTTTTTTTTATTTTTGTTTAAAGTAGCCTTTTAGGAAGTACCAAAAATATTGTAAAGTATCAATAAAAAAGTCAAGATTTTCTAGCAAGATTGGACTCCAATTGTTTCGTTTTGTATTTGGCGAGGGCAAAGAGAAGTCTTAGACTTGGATGTAAGGATATTCAGAATTTTCTGCATGTCTCCTGCCCTTTCCAGGTCTATGTATTAGTGTTGCATTTTGTCAGGCGGTGACGTGATGCAGAGACCACAATCGAAGTTTGGTCTTCATTCTTTGTGCTAAAATCTACTATCTCAGAGTACCACGCTCTAATTTCAACCTCCAACCAGCCCAATCATGTGGGTCATCTGAAGTGAAAATGGGTGGCATTTTAATAGAAGTGTTGATGATGATATAATATAAATATAATAAAAAATATATAAAAGTGATAATTTAAATTTTTAATAATAATTTTATATAAATTTAACAAAACTAAAAAATAATTTTGTATTTTCGTATCAATATAAATAAATTATATTGATATGAATGAATTGTAACATAAATTTCATATAAAATTTAATACTATGTATGATACAAATACATAAATTACCATTTTTACATTTTAACCTCAGTTCGGTCTTCCTGGGTAGGCTCAAGTTTCTAGTTTCTGCTGCCTTTGCAACACTGCCTCTCCCAGCGTAAATCAAGTTTGTCAAAAGCCAAATGCAAGTTCTAATGTTTCCTGATTAATAAGAAATGATGTCCATCTCCAAAACCCTCAAAATATAAATGAGTCTCCTTCGGAGGCAGTAATTAATGAGGAAGGACAGGATAACAGAGAGAAGGCAAGTAGAGGAGGAACAGTGTTTACTTCACGGTAGATCTAATGCTTAGAAGCCGCATTCTCATTCCATCATACTGTGCAAAGAGTATCAACTAGTTTAAGATATACGATAACAGCAATGTTTTACTGCAAACTGTAGAAAACCTGTAACTTTTTGCTCTATTTTAATGGAGGGAACTTGGATCCTTTGGAATTTAAGGTGCCCATCTAAATAGAATTTCAGAATCAGCTGCATGCCTGAAAATCACCACTTGGTTTACACAACATGGAGCCTCATCTGTGATAAATTTGCCTAGTCTCATCACGTCTTCATATCCATGCTTCCACCAACTCTTCATATCTCATTACCTGAATTGTTCTGCTCATAATGAAGCAGTCGATCTGCTGCGCTCTGCGAACCATGGTCACCTTGAATCTTACACTTACTATCTTGGGTGTGATCAGCATCTCTTTTCATGAAATGAAAGCCCATTATGTGCCTGTATTCCCCAGTTCCAAGGCAACGGGAGCAGTAGCTGAGGCCACTACCACCACAAGTCCTGCACCTGCAGAAGTGATCAGAAAAAGTTGATTGAAGCACCACTACCAGGGAATATGCAGCTTAGTTGTGAATGATGCATGGTTTGATGCCTCACCATTTTGGCCATTCTCCTTTGGGAAGCATCTCTAGATGAACACGGTTTGTCCTTCCTGCAATATTACAACATAACAGTACCATAAGCAAGAGCATAACATAGGGAGAGTCCAAAAGAATGAATCATATCATAAAAGCTAATGCATATTGTGCGCGAAGCAACAGAGCAGAATAATGCAGAAAACAAATTCAAATAGTGGCAGAAAAAGGTAGAAAGCAAAAATTTACAGGTTACCCTAAAGGGGATACAAGAAGAAAAAGTCCAAAAAATTTGACAAATGAACTAATTCTAACCATTAATTACCATTCAGAAAATCGGATCATCACTTTACAATTTCAATTTCACTTTTACCTTTTCATAATAGAAAAAAGTATTATCAGGATCTGACAATAAAATAAAAATGGTTCACCACTGAAGAGTAATTAAAAACAAAGAAAATAAAAGAAAAGAAGTCTGTAGAAGAAAAATTGATCCTAGAATGTAAACCTTATACATACCCCACCCCACCCACCCCCCAAAAAAAACAAATTGTCTCTTCCAGTTGGCGACAGACTGTTTGAGTTTTGAAAGTCTCAAAGGCATATTATATTGCCTAAGAATTCCTAGATGAACCTACACAACAGTTTCTTACACCCAAGAAATCATGTAGGAGGGAAGAAAGACCTCTTCCATAACAATCACGGCAATCAACTCTGCCACTTCCCTGGCAGACAACACATGGTGTATCAGGCTTCTTCATTCTCTCTCGCCAAACATTTGACTGCACAAACAAGAAATGAATGAACATAAACAACCCAAATCACTTCCAACTTTTGCTTAATTCACAGAAACATAACTTCGGTTTGATGGCAGTTAGCTTTTAGATAAAACAAAATCCTTTTAAAACTGATCAGGTATGGTTCTGGTGTAAAATGCTACTATACTGTATTGTTTCTGTTTCAAAGTTCAGTTGCTTGCGATTATAAGAATGAATGCAACCCTATTTGTTTACAAGCACAACAAGTTCTTCATGGGCATCTAGGAGCATGACTGAATAAGACATGGCCATGAATCAGATATTCGAAACACAAACATGCTTTAAACAATGGTAAAAGAAACAAACAATCGTTTAAAGAATAAGCTAACGCAATGTTAACTAATAGCAACATCATTATTTATTTTCCAAAGGAATGCATATTTTCGCATAATAGAATCACATATGTACATAAGGGTTTGAACAAGAATTACAAAGGCCATGAACAGAAACATTAAAACATACTGGAACAAACTTTTTCCCTTTTCTTCACCTCAAATCATTACAAGCGGTGTCTAGAAATCACGAGAACTATTCTTTTTCCTGCCATAACTACTTTTAAGTTGGTCAATTGGGAACAAGAAAAATACTCGATAAAAACTAGGGTTGGAAATTTTTGGAGCCCAAAAACACAATCTTATTTTTAAGTAGAAAATGGTAAGTTTGGTGAGGTTTTATGTCTATGGAATTGGGAAACTGAAAGACAATGAATGGAAAAAGAAGGGAGCTTTGCCTCAGTTCTGACGACCCAAGTGGGTTTAGAGAGTGAGAGACGACGAGGAGCAGGAAGACCACCACTGGATCTCCAACTCTCCAATCGGACGGCTGCGAGCACGCTTACCGTTGACGCCACTGCCATCGACATTCAGTTATGCAGCTTCCCTTCTTCTCCTCTCTCCAACTTGCAGGCTATACACCAAGACCCTACAAGATGTAACTTTTTGCTAGGCCCCAACCCCCGCCTTTAACATCTTTTCTTTTCCTGCTCGCAGCTGTGGCTGTGCTTTAAACATTTACTTAAAATAGATAACAATAACAATAGCAAAAATCTCTACAGCTTGTTGGGTTATAGGCAAAAAAGCTGTAGGGAAGACATTAGAGATTAGATTCGAAATAAGTTTTTTTTTTTTTTTTTTCATATAACAAAGCGTTGCTCTTCCTTAAAATAAAAAAAAATAACAAAAACAATAACATTGGCACTTCTATTTACACCCTTTTTTTTTTTTTTTTTACATCCTATTTTTTAAAAATTATTTTTAAGTAAAATTATTTAAATATTTTTATTATAAATTTTTAGACATTTATTATTTTTGAAAAATTATATCACTTCTCAAAAATATATTTATAAAAAGACAATATTTTTTGAAAATATACTTTTAAAAATGTTAAAATAAAATTTTATGAAAAATTACAAAAAAAATATTTTATTAAAATTATTTATAAATTATTGTAATAAAAAATTATTATTAAAAAATAATAAATTCTAAAGTTAATAAAAAAGTTACTTTTACTATTTTGATTTTAAAGAAACAATAAAATTTTATGATATCTTAATTAAATATTTTATCTTTTGATGTTATAAAGAGTGATAAAAGAACTATCCAGCATAATCAACATATAAGAGTTAAAACTTCTTAAAACTATATAAATAATGTTACTTAATATTACATAATTTTATTGAAATTTAATACGCTAATTCATAAAATCCATCATGATAAATATATGGAGAGATTTTTCCAAAGAGTTTAGTTTAATTAAAGTTATTATAAAATTTTAATAATGATACAAAAATATATTTATTAAAAAATGATAAATTTTAAATTTATAAAAAAAATTATATTTACTATTTTATCTTTAATTTAATCAGACCCTTATAAAATATTATTATTTCTCTAAGATAAAAATAGTAAAAGTAAATTTTTTATTAATTTTAAAATTTATGATTTTTTTATAATAATTTTTTTATTACACCTATTTATAAATAATTTTAATAAAAATTTTTTTTTATAAATTTTATAAAATTTCACTCCAACACTTTCAAAAATGCATTTCCAAGAAATGTTTTGACTTCTTAGTAATACATTTATGAAAGTTACAAAACTTATGATAAGGGTATTTAAGTAATTACACTTAAAAAATTGAAAAAAAATGGTTGTAGAGAGAAAAAATGGAGGTGTATTTAAATTTTTCCATAACGCTATAATCTTTTCTTCACAAATCATTTATAAGAAAAGAAAAACTTATTGTTAATAAGCATATATAAATTCCAATATAAAAGGGAATATTAAATCATCAATAATCAATAATCATCATCAATAATTAATAATTAATAACAATCTATACATATCTAGATTAAAAGAATCCTTAAAGGATCCTGGGCTTGACAACTGTCCATTCTTTTTGTTTTTTTTAGATTCATAAGTGTCTGATTTTCATTTCTTTTTTGGCAAGGGAGTTGAAGTTTTGTTTGGCTTTTGTAGATTTCCATATTTTATTTTTTTTTAGGATTTCAGTGTAAGATAATTTGCAACATTAAAAAAGATTCAAAAAACTAAAACTTTGGTGCAAAAAACACAAATAGCATTATCAATTATGTATAAAGCTTTATGTTGTTTCGAAGTTGTTATTGATATGTTTCTTTTTTTAGTTTTAGTGTTTTTTTTTTTTTTTTGTCTTTGGTTTTAGATGAAAGTTTTTCCTCTTTTGGTTACTAATTTGAATTTAGGTTTGATTTTTTTGTTTGTTTTTGTCTAATTGTTTTAGCTTTATGAGTTGAATAACTGAATGGGGTTTGAATTCTTTTTTTTTTTTATTTTTTTTAATGTTTTGTTTTGTTTTATGTTTAAATTTTTTGAATTACTTTTTATGAGGTTTGGATGTTATTTTATTCTAATTTGAATTACCTTAATGGTGGTGTTTTTATTTTTGTTTATAAGAAATGTTTTTGTTAATGATGAATGATGGTTCGAATGAGATTTTTTTTACTGCATGTTGTTTAAAAAAAAATTTAAAATTGTTTAAAAGTTTTTTTTCTCTTTTGGTTATTAATTTGAATTTGGGTTTCACTCTTTTAGTTGTTTTCTTAAAATGGTTTTAGGTTTGTGGAGTTGATTGAATGGGGTTTGAATTCTTTTTTTGAGTTTTTTTTTTCAATGTTTTGTTTTGTTTTCTTTAATTTCTTTGAATTATTTGTTTTTAGGTTTGCATGTTATTTTATTTTGATTTAAAATAACTTAATGGTATTGTTTTTCTTTTTCTTGGTAAAGACTATTTTGTTAATAATGGATAATGGTTCAAATGTGATTTTTTTGCTATGTGTTATTTAAAAAGAATTCTTTCTTGAAATTGGTTGGTAACATTTTTATTCTTCTCATGATTTTTTGTGTTTGTAATGATAGATGATAGTTTAATTGGGATTTTTTTGGTTGCATGTTTTTTCAAAAGAGTTCTTTCTTTATTTGATTACTATTTTCTTTTTTCCCTAAGAATTGTTGAAGGTTGTTCCTTGATTTGGTTTAAGGTGAATAGATGACTAGATTTTCTATTTGTTCGGTTGGTTATCTATTTATATATTTTTTTGAATGACGGATAATAATTTTAATGTGATTTTCTTTATTGCATGTTATTTCATAAGATTTGTTTTTGAGTTGGTTTTTTTTTTTTTAGGGTTGTATATTATTTAATTGCAAATTGAAATTGTATTAGTGTTTTTTTTTTTTTATGCTTGGTTTTGAGCCATTTTTGTGTTAGATTGATTGTTAGTATCATGTATTTCTTATCATTTTGCTTTTTCTTTTAGTTGTCTTGGTTACTTTATACTTTTTGTCTCATTAATGAAAAAGGTTTGAATGAAAATTTTTTTGGTTTTGCATGTTATTTGAATCAGATTTTTTAAATTTATTATATTTTATTTTTTTCTAGGTATTGTTAAAGGTTCTTGGTTGATTAAGTTTGATGTAAGTTTAAAGTTAAGTTTTTGTTTCTATATTGTTATTGTCTTTCTTTTTATTTGTTTTTGCTTTATTTTTTAGATTCATTATCTTTGTTCAATTGCTTTTGAATGTGTGTCAATTTTTTTTTTTTGGTTTTTTTTCTTAATCTCTTACTTTTTTTCTGTAAGTAGTTGTATTGTCTGTTTGTTTTCTTTTGCTCTGTGTATATATTGCTTGAAAGTTTGTATGTTGAGTAATAGCTTTTATGCATGGATCTTGTTAGTTGCACAAAAAAGAATAGGATTAGTCGAGCAAAGGAGAATAGGATCAAGAGATTGAAAAGTTTACAATATGATAGGTTGAAAAGACAAGAAAATCTATCTATGGGTAACATTTATTGGTTTGCTATTGATAAACCTCAAGATAATAGATGTGTTGGTCAAGTTAGGAGTAGAAGATTTTCAAGTTTGGTAAGTAATTTAATAAGGTTTGCTAGTGATGTAGCAGAATATGTTAATGGAAAAGATAGATATCAGTCTCATATATCATTGCATTCATTTGTTGATGTTAATAGAGAATTACAGATAGTTGTACTTAAAACATTTAAGTCCATTGTTGCAAGAGATTTAATAATTCATATATTAAAGAAAAGAAAGTTTAGGTTGCAACTAGATAGTTCAGCAAGTTTTTCTAGATGTGGTTCAGATTCAGGCTTGGTTGTCATGAATCTACTTGTAATATATGATTCATTTGTTAACCTTTATATGTTTTTTTCTCCTTCAGTTATATGGCAATGGTTGGCTTATATTAGTTTTGTGTTTTTGTCAATAATATCTTTAAGTGGTAAGCATGATATAAGAGTTTGTTTAAAAAACCAAGAAAAATTGAGTGCCTATAGTAGGGATATAAGATAAAATGAGCATTCAAGTGAGTTAGATTACATTTACTATAGTTTATTCATTGATAATTTAATTTGTTTGTTTTATTTTGTGTGATGCTGATAAGTTTCTTTTTACTATGCTTTTTTCATTCTTTGTTCAAAGAATATGTTTTGAAGCTTTTTTAATTTCAACGATCTTAAATTTTTTTATCCTTTCTGTGTGCTGTAATGTGATACAATGAGAAAGTTGATATCTCAAGGCAAACATAAAATTTTACATTTACATTATGTTGTCAGCAAGAAATTGTTCGGCTGTTTGTTTTCAAAAAAAAAAAAAAAACTCTTGAGTTTTTAGATGGCTTACTAAAATATGATGGAGGACATAGATGTGTAGATTTTAGAAATAATATAAGAGTATACAATTCTATGTTCCAATTTAACTCAACCAGAGGTAAAGTCGATAGCAGTATCAGTAATAGAGTAGGCATATATGTTTTCAAGATCTGTGAACAAAATCATTATAAGATTAGGCCTTTGCTTCCTTTTCTTCACTAGAATCCTAAATTTGCTCAGATGTATGTATATGATACTAAAAATGAAATTTTGAATAAGATGCCTATGTTTAGGATTTGTCATAAAGGTTTAAAAGTTGACCAACTATTGTAGATGGTTTGATTAGGATGCTTGATGCAAACAATGAGATTGTTAAAGTGTTTAAATCAACTAGAGATAGGTTTAGGCATTCTAATTATATTCTTATAAGGTTGAGATTGATAGGCAAGAGGGAACAGAGAGATAGAACTTATATTCTTTCAAGTGGGTATGAAGTTACTGCACTAATAGTGGGAGACATAAATGAGTATGACAGATGGTGAAATACAATCATTGATCATAAATATGATGGTTTGAAGAAAATCAATGATTTTAATCCTTTTTTAATGGTTTACAATATTTTTTGTTATTTTCTTATGGTGAGATGGCTACAATGTTGATATCAAATATGTTAACTCACCTAAAAAAAAAAAAAGGTAAACAAAAACATTGATAATGTGTAAATATTATACATTCGTTGTTCTAAACAAAATAGGCTCGGGTGATACTTTGTTATAAGGTGGTAGGTTGTTTCAACAGTTTGTTGTGGATGTATATGCCACTATTGAAAAATATAACTTTAACTTAGAAATGATAATCGAAAAGCTATTAGATCTAAAATGTATAAAGATGTTAGGGTTTAGTCATAAATGGTGAGCTTTAGGGTAACTCTATCAGTAAACGGGTCATATTGCCAACAAGTCTTATAGTTGGTCCTTGATGTTTATTCTAGA